TATTCGCGTTTGGGGGGCGTAGATACTTCCAAATTGCCACAGGTTTCTGCGGATGTTAATGATTGTTAGCTTGCTGCATTCAGCTTCTTCGGCCATTTGAGATGTAGAAAATGAATGGCTGTCTATCATGTCACGAATAAAATTGAGCTTTGAAGCAGGGAGCCTTGGAGCCATGTCAATTTTTGCGTTGAGTTCCAAATTTCCTTGGGTGGTTGAGGGAGGGAGATTTATGCCGAAGAACAAGAAGCAGGGACAGATCGCTTGTGTATACGAGTTACATGTAAAATACGTCTCGAGGCCACGTGAATGTAACGTAAGGAAAGGTATGAATATAGAAAGCGGTCTACTTAATGGGCTAATTTTAGCACCATCCAATCAAATTTCTTCTTTTGCGGATATATTATCCGGGAGAGGACTTGTGTGTTTGTCGAGGTATAGCTGATTTCGAAAACTACTGTACCGTACAAGAGCAGCAACTAACCAAGTCCTCACTTCTCCTAGCTCTTCACCTTTCTTATCGAACAATCTTCTATCGGCGCATTTCGTCCTTGCCGGGCTTCACCATGTGCCGTGCACATATATAGACGGAGGGGTCCAATAGCTCCAACTTCACTAGAGAACATTTGACATTTGTGCCTTAACATTCCTCACATTATTTGAATTCTTCATTCTTCCTACAACCACATATGTACATCCGGTAAAATTGGGTACACATCTTGATCAATTCAATCCCGATTAGTAAAGCACGTAAATCAGAATCTATCTAGATAATGTCAACTTACTATTTCGACGTCTAGGCTACGTTGTCTAGGTTGATGTCCTAGTAGTTCACGGCTTATATCTAGAATAATCAGCAAAATATCTTCATATAACTACATCGTGATCGAGTCGTATAAACTTACACTCTCGTATATACTCTCGTAGTTAAGCTTCGAACGATTATAGTTTAGGGATTAAAAGTGGAAGCGCTATATTATATGTCTCTTCCTCTATATACCGTACGTGCTATAGCTTAGACCCGAAACAAAAAGGCGCTTCCAGCTCCTTATAGGCGCCTATAAATGCAAGTGCTTATCTAGTAACTCAGATCTAGCGTATCGCTCACGATAGTTTAGGTACGCTACAGCCAATCTAAGATTTCTTAGACGTGTTAATGCCGTTATAAATGCATTAATACAACCCTACCCCTTTAGCGCCGTCTCCTTATTTCAGACCTAAGTTTCGTAGACTAATAATACCTCGATGTTGCAAGATCGGCAGAACGTCTACTTACTTAGTTTCTCGGTCATCATCAAAAAATAAATAGCACCGAGGATACTAGATTTGAATACGGTCCTAAGCTACTATACTAGGAATTTTCCTCTTGATTCCAATTTCTATCATTAAAATAGGTAGCTAACCAAAAATCGAATTACTCTAAGCCGAGGTCGACGAAAATAACCGAAGCTATTTCCGTCTTCTAGTCGATAGTCTTTCTCTTAAATACATCACCGTGGAACCTAGCATTTATAGCGCGGAAGACATATATTTTAGTCCTTCCTTAGTCTCCCTCTTGCCGAAACTTCCTATAGGAGACTAGAACGATGGACTAGTGGCTAAGGATACAAAGGACGGTCGGCCGCATTTTGCGTGCTTCAACCTGACCCAATTCCCTAGAGTTCAGAATACCTAGCATAGAACCTATATCGATTACTTAGAGCTTTCGATCGGACGAAAGTTACGAACGGGCATTTATAAAGTCAAATGTTTATTATTCGATGGTATTATCGTTGCCAAGTTCGCTCGTTTTCCCTAGGAGATTCAACACATTAAGAATGAAATCATAGCATATCAATAGATATCCGGCCGTAATATCGGGCCCCGATTCCTTAGTCACTTAACTAAAAACGGTCGGGTGATTAGGTTTTTAATAGAACGTATAACCGATGCACGGCATACTAGCACTTAGGACCTTAAGGCCTACGGGGAGGTATTGTCTCGACTATATGATTTAGGAGTCCGACATGGTGATACGAATCGATTTAATTTCCTCGTGCGCGATTCGAAGGCTACTTTAATCGATTTCGACACGGCTCAGAAATATGACGACCGAAACTTGCTTCTATAGGAGGCTGAAAATTTAACCGTGTGCCTCAAAAACCCCTCGGGTAGAGGAGGTGGAGGTCTTCTTTAAGAATTACATGCTAGCATCACGCTAGTCATTATTAGTAGAGAGAGGTTTCTTTTATCGTCGATCGATATTAAAAGTAGAAGATTGAAGCCGCTATACCCGTTTTTCTTTTAGTGTGATGCTCTAGTGTACCCGTGCATCTTCCTTACTCCGGTAGGGAATATAGTAAAAGAAGTAATCATTATATCCAAGACACGAGATCACGCTAGTTTCAAACATCGGGCTAGAGGTCACCGGTAACAATCACCCACTCACCCGGTGTCCTTTACAGGTGACCGCATGATCATCGGCGGGATTGCGTAGGCGTAGGCCATCCTTGGCCTCAGAATAAAGTATCAACTAAAAATATGCGAGACTGCAGTATTTTCGCCATTAGCCAGCGCCACCCCGTAGTGGCTTCAAAGACAGATCGGCAGTGGAAGAGGGATGGAGAGACGACGATGACGAGAATCGGGTTCCAATGCGCTCGCCTCCGCAAGCCTCGCTTCGTTCGGCCCCATCTAAGGTTCCATTGCACAGCCCCTAGTGTGGCAGATCTGGCTACAGATTCCTATCCTCGACCGCAGGCGATCAAGCGTCAACGTGCCCAAGTCGGGATGACTAAGAGGGTAGATCTGCACTTAGAAAGCGAGAAACCTGTTAGGGGCATCTGTCTGATAAGAACCTCAGCGATATTGCCTATTGTTTGGATCTGATCAGAAGCCGGACAAGTATTACGCGTCGGGAATTGCGGGATCGATGGTTCCAATGTTTCGAAGTCCTCGGGTTCAAACAGGGTTCTCAGGGCCGAGAGCTCGATGGTGCTAATCGGCGGTGACTGCTAGCTCTTGATCATCAGGTTCAAGCACGAGTCCGAGACGATCAGCAATGGGTATTTTGCTATCGGATAGCTGTGACAGGGCACACCAGCGACTAGGTAACTAAGCTGCGACTGGATTAGACAGCGAGCAAGAATACGGTAGACTAAAGTCGGTTACAGGACAAAGCACTAGGGCGGGTACACGCGAGTTGGGAGGTAAACTCATCGAATTGAGGACGTAAGGACGGCTATCCGGGGAAAATGTGCAGACGGAGAGCAATTCGGGCACCTGTAGAACGAGCGTACTGCATTAGGTAATTTCCCCAAAGCGGGGTAACGTATTTCACCACCGAGCCGGCCACCGCAAAACACATAGTAAATGCGATATATTCTACATTTATATCTCAACAACCATGTTTTTATTTTAGCTCCTTATTTGTCGATAGTCATCGATAAGACTCATTAGCACCATATATCAATTTCAAAGGGAGTAGAAGGCTATATTATCATCATTTCGAAAATTACCGAGATTATGTTGCTAAAAACTAGAGATATATATCGGAATCATAAAGTTATAAACTTTCTTCAAACCCCCTAAAGAGACTAGATATCACCTGGAAAGTAGGAGGCTATAAGGAGAAGTCCCTATAGACCACCGTTGTTGAGATATCAAGTTGTAATATATCGCATTTACTATGTGTTTTGCGGTGGCCGGCTCGGTGGTGTGGCCAGCTCGGTAGTGAAATACGTTAACACATTCACGACGCCAGTTGCGTAGAGAGGCTGAGTAATCCCGACAGAAAGAGCTGGATGTGGAGGCAACAATAACAATGAGTGCAAGATAGAGAGGTAGGAAGAATGGAAAAGTGAGAGAGGGGTCGGAAGGCCGAGCGGCGAAGACGGATCTTTTATGTCGGGCGGTCATTGAAGAAAAGTTATGTGACGGCGTATTATGACACTAAACCTAAGAAGGCAAGACTAACTAGAACAGGCAATTCACAGGTCCGCCGTTTACGCAACAAATCCAACAGAAAGACCATAGCTGTATGTTTAACAAAAATATACAGCCATAAGCCAAAAGAGGTAGATGCATGAAGCAGTCTAATTCAATCTTTCCTACATATGTAAGTACTCCTCAGACATTGTCAGAAACAGAGTATCAATTCGGACTGTAGTCGCGTGTCACGCGTTTCCCCTCAATTTGGTGCCAAGTGCAGTTGGGGACAGTGCCATGACCGGACAAAATTGGAACGGGCATTTGATTGGTTCAGGATATTGACTTATTTACCGCCTTTCTCCCCGCCCTCCCCTAATCTATCATTAGGAACGTTTGAAGTGTCTTTCAGTGTCTTTTGTGGATATAACTTTTGAGATTTTTGGATACCGTTTTATATGACTTTCTGGGTGTCCTTTTTGGGAATCCTTTCAGGTCTCTTCCCTTTTTCTTCTTAACGTTGTAGCTAGAAACATGATTGGAAATGGATAACCGCAAACCGCAGCATAACAGTGAAAAGCATAGTTACTACAAAGCGACTTTCCAACGTATAACATGCCATGTTTGGAGTATTACGATAGATAGATAGATAGATCTCCAAGGCTATATAGATGTTGTTAGTTCCCTCTTTACACTCAATAGTTTTCTGCCGGGTGAAAATCCATCCTTGGTGAGGGTTCAACCAATCAAATTCCAGTTGTCCGAGATGTCACTGTGGGCGGCCGTAGCCAGGCGTCCGCATTGTCTCAGCTTCTCGAAACAGAGTGTTCTTTGTTTCGAAGATCCAAAAATTAATCCACGCCGGTTCAACATTTTACCTTGAACTGGATCGCAGATACCTTTGCGTGGAAAGTTCAAACCGCGCAACAACGCGTCCCCCCGGTCCCAAGCCTGAATTTCCCCCCGGCCTGAGCACCACGCTTCACATGAACACGGACTACTTTACTTCTCTTTGACTCCAAGCTTCGAGACTCGCGATTCTTCCCGACAAGCGACGGTGGACAATTGGCGATTGGAATCCTCCACCACAGTCCACCATGCCGACTCAGGCCAAACCTGATTCCAGCTATGCGTCCAATCGTCTGACGAAGAGGAACGCTCCGCGCAAGCATCTTTTGTCTAATTTCAATGAACCAGAGTCAGAATATGAGAAAACCGATGTTGTGGGAATCAAGAACGAGTCTGTTCAACCTAGCGTCCAGATAAAGCCGGAGATTGATACAGACGCGGAGCCTTTGAGCTCCGATGAAGAGGAAGCAGAAGACTCCAAACTGGACATTGCTCAGCATAGCATTAAGGAAAGAGCGGAAATTGATGCAAATGCCGAACCTTCGAGCTCCGACGAAGAGGAAGTCGAAGATCCCATGCCCGACATCGCTCAACCTAGCGTCGAGAACAAGCCAGAGATTGATACAGACACCGAACCTCTCAGCTCCCCGCCCCTCAGCTCCCCACCCCTCAGCTCCCCACCCCTCAGCTCCCCACCCCTCAGCTCCCCACCTCTGATATCTCATGAAGAGGGAGAGGAAGAGGAAGAGGAAGTCCCAAAATCGAACGCTGCTCAGCCTAGCATCAAGAGAGAGTTTGATATCGACACCGATGCCGATCCTCTAAGCTCTGATGAAGAGCGAGTTAGCGATAGCGATACTTCCCCACCTTGCAAAGACGTGAACTATAGGGCTATGGCTTTGGAGATGAAGCTTGCGGAAGGAAACAATAGGGCATACAGTAGTGCACAAACTCATAATGGATACTCTCGCAAAGGCACTTTTGCGCGAACCCTGAGCGCTATGACGGGCTCCGATGATGAGGACGACCTATTTTTATTCTCCTCGCAGAGCCGTAAGCGGCAAAGGGCAACAAAATATGCGTCCAAGACCACCTATTTCAACAGGCCATCTTTCCCGCCACCACCGACGGAGAAAGTGAAAGAGCCGTCGCCAGTCGATGAAGCCCCCAAAGAACCCGAGGAGACGTTTATAATGCCAAAGGACATTGAAAACTCGAGTTTCCGAGAACTTCGTGGCGGGGAAGACTCAAACTCCAGTCTCTCGTACGGCCCGTACACTATGGAAGAATACGAAGCAATGTTGCTTGACGATGATTCACCCCTTTCATCCCCATCTTCTTCCACCTGTGAGCAAATGTCGCAGCTAGATGAACTCGCAGCGAAAGAGAACCGCCAACCATCACCACCCCGCCTAGCCCTGTGCCCGATGTGCCATAAGGAAGTAGACTGGGCTTCTCTAGAACTGTTCAAAGCACAGCCGAAGCAACGTATTCGCGAACAGGTTATGTTCTGTGAATCACACAAGCTTCGCAGTGCGATGGATCTGTGGCGTGAGCGAGGGTACCCTAATATTGACTGGGATAGGTTTGAAGAGCGTGTTCAGAGCTATTTCCCCGAGCTCGAAAAACTACTTGTGCCTGGTGCTTTCTCTTATTACCGAAATATTCTCAGTACGTCTTTCGCACCAGGGAAAGCGAGAAACTCCCGTGTGAGAGTGAGTGATGGCGAGAGGCTTGAGACGATGACCTGTGGTTATTATGGTACCATGGGTGCAACCAGAATGTATGTGGTGTATAACCCTTTGCTTGGTCTGACTGCGCTAACACCTGTCTCCAATCTAGACTAGAAACAATCATCCGTCGTTTTTCTGTGGTTGTACGTCGCCTAGCGACAACAGATGATCTCATCAAGACGGCAGGCGTGGCTGGCTACACACAGTCTGTTCTTGTGCCTGAGCTCGCCGTCCTCTTGGTCAAGGATGACATGAAAGTCAACGACGAAGATGCCCGTCGGATTATGAGGGAGAGTATGGACATTGGTAGCAGGGTCAATCCAGACCTCAATGTTGTCCCGGTACCGGAAGATGTCGAATTATGATTGTGAGTGTACTCCGTTACATTTGATACCATGGGCGCTATGTTCTTTTTATTTGGTTTCTGGCTCCGACGTGTATTTTATCTCCTTTTGCCCCATTTCAAGGGTCATGTAGTTTTATCATCTTGAGCGATGGTATATAGATAGCCATTATGATACCACTCACTTTTTTTCTTATATTTACTGGAATACTACTTATATGCATTCTCAATCGAAGACCCAATTCACGCACGGTTGTTATTATTCTGCGAGAAATTCGCATAGATCGAAGGTATCAACATTGGCCCAAAGAGGCAAGTCGATGGCGGGCTGATCCGTGAGGGGTAGCTTTGTCAGCCGATAAGGTGATCGCTCGGGTCGATGATACAATGCGGAGAAGCTTTCCATCTGGGCGAGATTGGCATTTGCACTCTTCCATCATTCACGCAAGATGAGAGAGAAAGACATGCGATTCTCGGAGACCTCACCTCTGCTGGAGGTCAATGTCGCTCCTCCGCGACATAGATATCCGCACCATGCTGTTCGCCGAGTGTGTACTATCTCCCTTGCAGCCGTGCTTTCTGTGGCGACTCTGCTATTCCTACTTCCCGCCGCCATTTTGCCTCGAGACGGCGGCTCTATTTGGTCCTATCTCCCCGGGGCTCATCCAATCCCCCATGAAGCGTGGCCGGAGAGCTACGGTCTGCCTTACGACCAGCTCCAGCAGATCCTCCTCAACGTGCCTTCTGCAGATAAGGCCCGAGAGTGGAGCCAATACTATACCGCAGGACCGCATTTGGCAGGAAAGAATCTGTCTCAGGCGCTCTGGACTTTGGAAAAATGGAAGGAATTCGGCGTGGAGGATACCGGCCTTGCGGCGTATGACATTTACATCAACTACCCGCTCGATCATCGCCTGGCCCTCTTGAAGACGTCCGGTGATAAGACCGAAGTAACCTTCGAAGCTACATTGGAGGAGGATATTCTCGAAGAGGATCCTACTTCCGGCCTGCCAGAGCGTGTCCCAGTGTTCCATGGCTATTCTGCTACCGGCAATGTGACCGCACAGTATGTGTATGTCAACTTTGGCACGTACAGGGACTTTGAGGACCTCGTCAATGCCAACGTCACCTTGGAGGGTAAGATTGCCATCGCCAAGTACGGTAGGGTGTTCCGCGGTTTGAAGGTGAAGCGTGCACAGGAGCTTGGAATGGTCGGCGTAGTTATCTACAGTGATCCGCAGGAAGATGGTGAAATTACCGAGGAAAATGGCTATGAAGCTTATCCTAATGGGCCTGCACGGAATCCCAGCGCCGTCCAGAGAGGTAGCACTCAATTCCTCAGTAAGGGTTTTCTTCCGAGGCAATGGCATTCCGAAGCTGACTTGAACAAGGTATCCTCCCTGGTGATCCCACAACCCCGGGATACGCATCCAAGCCCGGGTGCGAAAGACAAGACCCGCACAACTCCATCCCCTCGATCCCATCTCTCCCGATCTCGTACAAGGAGGTTCTCCCATTCTTGAGGGCACTTAACGGTCACGGCCCCAAGGCGTCGGACTTCAACGAGTATTGGCAGGGAGGCGGTCTCGCCTACAAGGATGTGGAGTACAATATCGGACCATCTCCCGAGGATGTGGTGATTAACCTCCACAACCTCCAGGAGTATGTGACAACGCCACTGTGGAATGTCATCGGTACCATCAAGGGCCACATCCCCGATGAGGTCGTCATTCTCGGTAACCACCGTGACGCGTGGATTGCCGGTGGCGCAGCAGATCCTAACAGTGGCTCCGCTGCCTTAAATGAAGTCGTCCGCAGCTTCGGCGAGGCTCTCAAGGCAGGATGGAAGCCATTGCGCACTATTGTCTTTGCCAGCTGGGACGGCGAAGAGTACGGGCTTCTTGGCTCGACCGAGTGGGTAGAAGAATACCTCCCATGGCTCTCCAAGGCCAACATCGCGTACCTGAATGTCGATGTGGCTGCTGCCGGTACCAATTTCGAACCTCGGGCTAGTCCCCTTCTGAACAAGGTCATCAATGATGTCACCGCTCTAGTGCAGTCCCCCAACCAGACCGTGCGGGGACAGACAGTCCGCGATGTATGGAATGGCAAGATCGCGACGATGGGTAGCGGCAGTGACTTCACTGCCTTCCAAGATTTCGCCGGTGTCGCCAGTCTCGACTTTGGCTTTGGTCGTGGCAAGAACGACCCCGTCTACCACTACCACTCAAACTACGACAGCTTCGCATGGATGGAAAAGTACGGTGACAAAGGCTTCCTCTACCACCAAGCTTGCGCAAAACTCTGGGCTCTGGCAGCGGCACAGTTGGTGGAGTCTCCTCTTCTTGCGCTTAATGCCACCGACTATTCTCTTGGCCTTGAGTCCTACCTGGACCACGTCAAGCCTGCGGCGGACAATCTCCCGGAGAAGACTCACTTCAACTTCGCATCTCTAGATAGGGCCATTCTTGAATTCCAGGAATCCGCGAAGGCCTTCGATGCCCATGCTGCCGACTTGGAGTCCCAGCTTGCTGATGATGTGCCTTGGTACGACTGGTGGAAGAAGGTGAGACTGTGGTTCCAGATTCGCGCTACCAATGCGAAGTACAAAGGCATCGAACGGGCTTTCTTGTACCAACCCGGTCTGGACGGCCGTAACTGGTTCAAGCACGTCGTTTTTGCCCCTGGCGTCTGGACTGGTTACGCGGGAGCCACCTATCCCGGACTAGTAGAGAGTCTCGAGGCTGGGGACGTGGAGAATGCCGAGGTATGCGATTATAGACCCTCTTCGCCTTGTGAAATTGCTAACTTTATTTCTAGAAATGGAGCTCCATCATCCAGGAACGAATTGGTGCTGCGACAAAGTTGCTGCTGTAAACGGCTGGTAAGCAACTATCTTACCTTGGTACGATAGAGCGTTGGACACACAGCACAATTGGCCTTGAAGATCTATAGAGAAATAGATACATCAAGATGAACAGATTCCATTAATCGATGTTGAATCGGGGCCTTGTAAACAGACATAATTATATAGTTCCCAGCATTAAATTATGCGTGCACATTTACCCCAGACTTCGTCATCTGACTAATCGATTGCATGACCCGTGGACCGAGCATCATCTGCGTAACTTATATCTCTCCCAATCTCACCCTCTTCTCTTGACCAAAATTCCCCAAACCTCCAAGAAAAGAAGAGACAACCCGTCTTAAACCCTACAAGATGGTATGTCCACAGATCTACGTCCCTCGACCGCGACTCCAATCCAATCCGCCCCAATCAAACCCTGAACCCCAAATCCAAACCATCACCAACATACCCCCCACCTCTTATATCTACCTCAACAACGGCAGACTAACAAACCCAGGCACCACCAACAAGCTCCGCCCTAGCCCTCTCTCTCCTCACAAGCCTGGGCGGGATAATCGGCTACACAAGGACCGGATCCATCCCCTCAATCGCTGCCGGCGTCTCCGTCGGACTCGTCTACCTTCTCTCATTCCTGCGCCTGCGCGCCGGCCAATCCTACGGCGAAGAACTGGGTCTCCTGGCCTCGGCTGTGCTGGGTGGAAGCTCTATCCCGCGCGTGATCAAGACGGGCGGGAAGCCTGTCCCGGTCGTCTTATCGGTGCTGGCTACTTATGGGCTTTTTGTTTTTGGGGTTGCATTTAGGGAGAAGAGGGCGTGAAAGATTAGGATTGAAAGGAAATGGAAAGCAGATGTCGGAGAGGTAATGGAGTCGAATCGTTAGTTCGTTTCTAGTATACTCCCACCTCAATTGAGTCTGTATCAGCCATTTGCGTATTGACTTCTAGTTAGATGTTGTACATGTATATCGGTGCGACCTTTACGGGTACGAGATACTGAAAGATCACCAAAATCAAACATGCATTGGTAGACAGCGAAAAGCGCATGAGATTCCAGGCCAAACCGCCCGCGATGGATTCCTACCTCGAGAGAAACGCTAAAAACTTACATCGACTGTAGATGGCATCACTTTGCCGTCTAGACATTCATATCAAACAGACTCCTCCAGGCCATGGTTAAACCTCCAGTGAGGGGTCAGAGGGAGGATCAAAGGGCAAGGCACGTACTGTACGTAGGCTCATCGATGTGATATTCGTGAACCGATAGCTTAGACCTGAGCCTCCCTTCCCCGAACGAGCGACTCAAGGGAACCTCCCATGTTCGTTTTTGGTGATGTTTTTGGGTCTTTTCGATCTTGTCCTTCAATTTCTTTCAATATGTCTTTTTATCTCGCATCATCGAACTCAAACAGTTCCAACGTTTCATGGGGTTTCGGGAGAGAGATGGTGGGACGGGGGAGGACTCGCCAGACTAGGATTTGGAATCAGAGCCACTGGTGACAACCAAAGATCCAGCCAGAAGAATGCTCATATGTAACTAGAAGTATTGATGTGTCGACTTAGCTGGGTTCCGTAACTCCATCACCTGCAAATGCAGCAGGGAAAAACAAAGCAGAACTTAATGTGTCGTATCGAGAACCGTGTCAGACTCTTGAATGCGGCCCACCACTGCGTTGCCGGGGAGCTCGCCGAGGGCGGTTTGCGTGCTTCGGTCTGGGACGTATGCATATCGAGGTAGTTGTGCCATCTTCTCCTCCGGACTGAGCGTATCTTCGTTGTAGACCATTCGGATCGCAGGCTTGGTCTTCTCTTTCTTGGGTTTGCTAATACCCTCTGTCTTCGAAGCCACGTCATTGGCTGCGCCTGAAATCTGATTGTCAACAGGTGTGGAGACATGCTCAGTTGGTTGAGCGCTGGATCCATTAGAGTGACCTGGAGCTGCGGGGGTGGGGGACGGGACATGTCCCATATGCATCTGTTGCATTTCGTGCGCGTTGACCGAAGGTACAGCAAAAGCAGGGCGCTGGGGAAGATTTGAGGCGGCCGGTAGGCCCGTAAATCTGTTGTCGGATGGTGGAGGTTGTTGTTGTTGTTGTTGTTGTTGTTGTTGTTGGGGGAAAGGAGGAGCCCCATAGGACACGGGTGGCTGTGCAGGAAGTCCGGCGGGGAATGGTGAGGGATATCCGGACGGGGTGTAAGGCGAGGCACCAGGGACCTGCTGTCCACCAACTGGGGAGTAGGTTGAATAGACAGGACTGCCAGTCTGCGAGAAATGAGGTGTCACACCAGCGGGGGGGCCACCGTAAGGCTGAGGGTAAGAGTATTGTGGAGTGGCTGCGACCGGAGGTGATTGCACCTAGTAATGATGGTTAGTTCTCAAAACACTTCGCGTTGAATACCAGGATACCACTCACATATCCACCGGGTGTTGGCGTAGACTGAACAGCACTAGCGGGTGTTACATCGCCACTGCTACCTCCAGCAAGCGCCTCCGCACGCCTGGCCTTGTGTTCAGCCAGTCGCTTCTTGAGATCTGAGACAGGTTCGAGCTTGGGCTTCTTTGTCGGTTGGCCGCCGGAAGAGGCGCCAGTAGGAGGGTTGCCTGTCGCATGCTGGCGATCCAGCTCGGCTTGCTGAAATTGTGAAGCAACACGCTGCTGGTGGGCCTTAAGGACATCCGCGGGAATACCCTCCATGCCGAAGATTTCGATATCGACGCCCATGCGGTTCGGCAGTGCATTTTGGACCTGAGTCAATTGCTCCTTATGGACCTGGCTCAAGTGCACGGATAGACCTAGTAACACAAGCCATCAATACATGCACGTACCTCATCTAGATAAAACGCAACTTACCCCCAGCGGTATTCAGTCTGCGATTGCAGTTGTCACACTTGAAATGTTTTGCTTTCTGATGAGAGATGAGGATCTTCAGGTCGTCAAAGTCACGTTCGCAGTAGTAGCACCACGGGCGATCAAGGAGCTCCTCCAGAGAGGGACCGCGTCTTTTTTTACCCATTGTAGCGTCAATACAGGCAGAAGTGATTTGATGATTTGAAAACCGCAAAGATGTGTGGGGTTGCAAAGGAGGGGAGGTTTGCTCAGGAGTGTCACACATCCGGAAGCTCGCCATGATGGATGAGGCCAAGCCTTTATCTTTATCACGTGCTTCGCACGTGACGTGCTACCATCTGTAAGCGCATATGCTGGAAAGGGAAGAATGCTTCATTATGACAGGACTGGCACGTGATCTCTCACGTCACGTGTCATAGAAGGTAACAGGTGCCCCCCCCAGGAACAAAGAGGTCGTCTTCGACGTAAAGATGCCATGTAATATCACTGCTCTGTTTCTGTGGATGTCTCATAAATGTCAAAGTCGTTGCTATCATATTTGTCGGTGTCAATGGCATCAATGGCCATATGATCAAACTTAGAACGACGCAAACTGTTCGCCCCAAACCCATTTGCCAATTCCCTTGATTCCTTCTTCGTCGATGCGTATATCAGTTTCTGTAGGAGGTACTGGATTCCGTAGAAGGAGAAGGTGAAATGGTATAATGAGTGGAGCTCCAGTAACTCTGACTCCATCCCCTGAGAGGCTTTCCATGATCTTGACATCTTGAGCTAATGTGGGCTGGCCATTTGCTCGGTCCCTTTCGTATTTCTCAATGGTGATTACCGGCCGTGTCTGGCTCGCTTTGATGGCGAGAACAACATTGACGTTACCCCTTGCGGGGTCAAGCCAGAGCCGGACATCCTGCAACAGTTTCTTTCTTGTCTCGGAAACTGCAATTTCGACAACCACCGTCACCCGTCTCGTGGTGACATGGGGGAGGGTTGGGCTTGGGCCCCAGCCCAAGTCTGGTTGGTTGTTTGCTGATTCCGTTGACCCAAATATCTACCCTATGGTAGGGTGTAACACCCCCCACGAGCCCCATTGGTCTAAGCGCACCCAAAATGCCCTCGTAGACAGCCGTTCCCACTACCTGATGTGTGAGACCGGGCATCTTGACGATCAAAGTATTCGTAGCTTGGATGAAAGTACAGGTAATACCGCGAATTGTATCCGTGAGATCAAGAAAGTCGCGTTGGTACGTGGGAGGGTCGATGGTAAAGATGACATATTCGGTGAGGTGCTTCGAAAGACAATAACGTTCACGCTCAAGGTCAACGATTCGGTCAAAGTGTTCCTTCCCTTGATATAGATACCGTCCAACAGATGGAGGCAGGCACTCCGAGTCGTAGTCAGATCCATTGTGGTCGAATTCAGACATTCTTGACTACAATTATTCCTTAAAGCTTAGTGATCACGAGACACAAGGATTATCATAGAGGATCAAGTCATAGAACGTTGTTATCAAGTTCTGTCGTTGGAACCTCTCGGAAGCTCCAGTACGGCAGTCTATTACCGCCAGTAACTAGTTACGTCAGTTCAGGTTCTGCCTGCAGTATGCTAGTAGTTGGTAGTCTATAACAGGGGTATTTTGTATGCAGAATTAAAAATATAGAGATTCCATTTCTCGGTTGCTGTCCAATTTGTCAATGCATACTTGTATTCTGAGTGCTTGAATTCTCTCTAGTCCAAATTTGAACTGTCTATATTTCTGTCGCATCGCATGTTACACCTTTTCACCGCCTATATTCCATAGAATGGCCCATTACACTACTTTTAAACGACAGAGCTAACCCTGTGACCTACTATACTACACACCCAGTGTGGTCAGATGTTGATTTATTTACCATATACCCATCTTGAACAAAATTCCGAGTCTAATATCCAAAAGACAATCTACAACCTTGGAAACTAGTATGTACAAGCTAAGAACTACAGATAGAGAACAAGAATTTCTATACAACATGAATTTAGCCCTAGAATACATGTACTGGTGCCCTGGTGCCAGGGCACCAGTACCTTCATAATGTATCTGATCATCGCATTCCCAGGCCAAACCCCAGGGAGGTCTGAGATCACAGGGAACCACGTCCACCCCGGTTTATCGACCGCGGGCTCGGCCCAGTCATGAAGAGGGCCGTGCACCAAGCAGGGAAGATAAACCGGGGCGAAAATGTTCCCCTGCGACCCCATCCCAAACCCCGGGGTGGGCCAAGAAGCGATGATCAGTTGGTGTCGAGGCAATCCCCAGTCCCCTCTCTCTCACTCGTAAAAACAAAAGTGAGATGAACGTCAAGTAAGATAATAGCTAAAGTGAGAGAGAGGGAGAACTGAGGATTGCCTCGACGAAACCGGCCTGCCCTCAATGGCGTGGGTCCCGCGGGTTATGACCCGGGAGGGGACCCATCCCGTGGTACTGGACGTACGGGAATGGGGCGTACTGGGGCGGCATAGGTTGCCCCAGTTGCGCCATAGGCGCAACAGACGCAGCAGCAGCAGCAGCGAAAGGGTTCACTGGGCCGGGGCCGTAGTGAGGAACCACCCCCATAGGAGGGAGGGTGGGAGGCATAGGCTGCTGCTGCTGCGCCTGTACGCTTGCCATTGGGGGCAGGCCGGTGGGCCCCTTGGGGGCGAGGTTGCCAGCAAGTGGTGCCAGCGAGGGCGACCGCTTGCGGCGGCCGTGGCCAGTGGGCTTGGGGACCTCGTCGGCGGCGCCGTCGACGGTCCGGTCCTGCTCGATCTGGGCCTTGGATCTCTTTGGGTTGCGAATCCGTCCTTCCCGGTTGAACCGGTCCCAGTGATCGAGCATCGCCTTGGTCCTCTTGGGGTTCTTCGAATTGGCAATCTTCTGGCGCCTGGCCTCTTCAATTGCTTCAGCAGAGAGAGCCTCCTTCTTGGCCGATGTCGGGGTGGGTTCAGCCGGGCTTGCGGCGGCCGTCGGTTCGACGGCCGGGAAGGAGGTCTCTGCTGGAGGGACTGATGAGGAGGCCAGGCTGCTAGGGCCACGTCGACCCCGGCCCCGAGATGAGGTTTGGGTTGGGGCAGGGGTGACTTCGAAGATAGCCCGAGAGGAGCCAAGGCGACCAATCCCACGGCCGCGTCCGCGGCCACGGCCACGGCCAGAGCCACGGCGAGAGTTTGCGTCGGAGAGGGTTGATTCAGCGACGACAGTTTTGCCGCCGCGGCCTCGGGTGCGCCGCTTTGCGGGGTGGTTATCTTCATCAGTTTCGTCACCATCCGCACTCTCATTTTGAGTCTCTTCTGTATCAGTCGTTTTCGTCGGTATTTCAACCTCCGCGGCCTTGCGTTTCCGAGTGATTTTCGGCACAAGTGGCTCGCGTCGAGGTTCATATATCTGAGGGTGATATTCAAGGCCATGTTTCTTCAGGATTGGCCACCCATCAGGGTTAAGATCACCAGTCTCCTTGTTCTTGGCGATCATCTTTCTGGCTTGCGCAGGAGTTGGGACAAAGCCTCCCTGCACAAATGGATCCTGCTGTGTGCGGATGGGTACAAGTGGGGTGTTGCCCGGGAAATAATTGTGCTTGTAGCCATAGAGCATTGCCTCTTTCTTTTCCTCAAAGTCAAGCCTGTCCTCATTGACGTGAGCCAGAGGGGCTCCACCCTTTTTCTTGTGCCCCTGCATTTGATGTCGCTTTGTTTGATATGAGGGTTCATCTCGTTTGTGTCGATGCGCCTTGAGGTAAAGGTCGTCGAGGGCCAGGTATTCATCTTGAAATGCCTTCAAAGCAAAAGCGGCGGTCTGTGTGAGTGCGTATAGTTCTTCGGGGCTGTATTTTTCGGGATTGCGGAGCATGCTGACAAGCTCATCGAGTTCCTGGACCTGTACTTCGAGGAATTGACCTTTGTCGACTTTGGGCTTCTTGTAGGGACGAGGATGAGAACCTGGTTCAGGAGCGTCACGTTTCCTTGCCTTAGAAGGGTCATGGAAAGCATTGTCCCAAGCAGATTCGCACTTGGCCGCTTCCTGGTCGTAGTTTGGGGAGAATTTGTTAGCATCATGGACTTTCCAGAAGCGTTCAAGGCGCTTTTTCACGTCTGGTCGTCGCCACCGGGCCTCACGGAGGCGATACTCCTCGGGATATCCAGTACGCGGGTTGGAAAGCCAGTCCAACAGGTCGCGTTTAGTTTCGGGTATGTCACTGACATTGACTTCGATTTCGGTTTGCTGGGAGTCATTGATATCGTCAGCGGTCATTTCCACTGCGATCTCTTCGCCTTCTTCATCCTGAGCCTCGCCGTCTTCGGGCTTGGCAGCCTGAGCTACGGGCTCGTCTTGTTCAATGGCGTCGTCATCTTGAGGATCGCCATTCTCGTCGTAAGTCTCATCAGCGCCATCTTCGGCGAGCTCTTCGGCGAGATCTTCAGGGCCATCATCGGCACCATCATACCCAGAAAAGCTGATGGATTTCGGGTGAGCTTCATTGATATGATCATTCAGAACATCTTCTTCAGAGATGCCTGCGTCATCTGGGAGCATCAAGAGCTTCCCACACCAGTCACACTTAAGCCGTCGAGGAATGGGCTCCGGGGACTGAGAGATCTGGGTGGAAGTAGACTGGGGGCGGAATGGTTCAGAAAATTGACGACGTAGAGGGGAGTCCTGGCTGTCACCAACATCCGAAGAAGGATTGTCCCCATCCAAATCGGCCCTTGGGATAGGGGCCATTTTGGTGCAAATGGACAGAGAAAGAGAAAACAAGAGAACAAGAGGGGTACGAGTGTTTTGATAAACAAGATATAAAAAAAAGGAGAAGAAAAAAACGCAGGTCTCAAATGGAGAATGAAGATTGTCAAGAAAGAATCTGTATAGATGGTCAGCGTTGGTTCGCTTGCGGGTGCCAAGACGCCAGTAAATCGCAACGCAATTCCGCGGTTCCAAGGCCAAGGCACAAGCCATGGATCAGCGCGAACACAAGAATCGCAAGACATTGTAAACCCAGTGAACGCAACATGTAACATGAGAAAAGCATGAGACATGAGACACGGTCGGGCAAAAATGCATGGATCAAGATCTGACGGGGAAGTACTGCTAGACTGTGCCATCAGGAAAAAAAGTAGAAAAGACGCGACACTTGCCATGAGATGTTTAGAGTCGACTTGAATCCTTGTGGATAAGAGACACGAGTCACAGCCAATGACTGCTGGCTATTAGTGAGTGCTACAAAGAAGGGTGCAGGATGGGTGTGAGTGGCTGCCAGGGATGTGTACTTACTATC